TTTTTTTTACGACAAAAGTATCTGCTTAAATTCCCGGGTCGAATAATCTAAATTTTCCCCTCGATATCTCTGAAAAATTCTGTAATGGCAATGGAATTAGCAATTATTTCTTCACAAAACTTTAAACCAGGAAAATCAATTAGGGTAAAATCAATCAATATTTAAGATGCGAGTCCAACATCTTAGGTGGCGAAAGAAAGTTTAAAGATATTCAGGGCAGGTTCAGCAGTTCAAGCGGGGTTGAAATTCACTCGGAAGGGAATATCAAAACCTGCTTGTACATTGGGTTAATCGGGCAGCTCTAGTTTAGAGTTCACTCGAAGACTGCCTAGGAAAATATCTGTCCCGATAGGTATCCAAGCCATCTTGATTCGCTGGCGAATACTAGTAGACCCTCTAACTGGTAACTCTGAAATTTGAAACGCTTTCTCCTGACTGCCTGCACTCATATAGAAAGTGTTAAATGGATTCTACATATCTCTTCCTCATCTCCACAGTTTATAAAGATTTCGTTACGCGGGCCATGTGACGGCCATATGCTCAGTGTCCAGTAAGTATTCCGGTTAGAATTCGAACATTTTAGAGCAGATGTGGGCAGGCAAACCACGCGCGTTTTGTTGATCGAGTAGTGGCTAAAGCGAGGGCGATACAGTGCAGATAAGCCCACCTGTTGTTTGCAGCCGACCCATTTTTAAATAGTTAGAAGAGACATACCAAGGTCTTCTGTATGTTTTAATCCGCTCCTCCATTTTTATCTCAGATCCCTTTCAACTCGTGCTAGTATATTTTTTGATTTATCGAAGTAGCCCAAGAACCAGTAGAGGTGGGCTATAAGTATACTGCCGAAGAGGCTGTAGTAATTTTCGCCATTACCAACTCAATTGCCTTGATCGCAGCTTAAAGGCGCCTTTACATGAGGTAATTTTCTAGGCGATTCAACATTGCTCAACAAAAATCGTTTATCTAAATCAGTGAGTTTTTGTAATGTTTTTGTTAGTTAGTTGTTGTGGACTTTTTTAATAATTGTAAAACCAAAGAATTTAAATTCAATAATAATAAAATAAAATAAAATAAAATATAATCAAGTAAGATAAAATACATAAATCAAATAAATTCAAAAACGAAAGAATTCTCTCAAACCTGGGTCCTGCGAAATTGTAGTATGCAGCCCTCCCCAATCGGCTTTATGAGTTTATTACATTAGATTGCTCAATATAATTTACTTTCAAACTTTATTTTATTTTTATTATACAAAGAGCAAATTACATTTTCCACTTACAGGTCTTCTAAATGGGCCCCTATTTCGAAGGTTTACATACCGCCAAGTGGCACTTGGCGCTTCAGCGCTTATCTTCCTTGGCATGTTTTTGTCAGTATTCGCCCAGTCATTCCTCTTTTATATGATGTCTTTCTCATTCTTTTACGGTAAGTGTTTTTTTTTTACTATCACAGTTTTGGCAAAACTAATACTTAAAACTCTTCCTTTCTTCCGTTCGGTCAGCTTTCGGTCGTGGCCTCATGGTTTCAGCTTCTTCGATGGCAGTCAACACTTTCTTTAAAGTGAAACGTCGTACTGCGACCTCTTATCAGTTTGGCGTAGCAGGCATGGGTCCAATTATATTGCCACATGTTGCCACTATTCTTACCCAATCGTTGGGCGTGAAAGGCACTGTACTAATTTTCTCCGGTCTCTCATTGCATAACTTCGCCTGCTCGCTGATTTTCCAGCCCGTGCAATGGCATGTGAAAAAAGTAAAAGGTGACGCTGAGGCATTGCATTCACAGTCGCAGCACTTCGAAGATGAAGAGCCCGAGCAATTTGTTGAGCCGGATACACATAGTTTGGCACGCGCCAACGATGGCTGGTTTGGGTCGCGTACCTCGATAAACACTTTGACCACACGACACCGACTCGGCACTGGCGATAGCGTTCAGATGCAGCGTTTGAGGCGTTTAAGCAGCGTTGGCGCTGTCAAAGGTAAACAACGCTCCTTCTCGACCACTGAGAGTATCAAAGAAGATGAATTGGAGCATTTGCATATTGAATTAGTGTTGCCGGCTAAGCTGGAGAATTTAGATGAAGGATGGATTGCAGTGCCACAAAAACCACAGCAACAGCAGGAGCACGAGCTGCTTACGGGAAAAGAAAGCGTGGTACCCGAAAAGACGATAGCTGAAATGATAGAGGATGAAGAGGAGGCGCGTCAGAAGTTGCCATTCTACCAGAAAGTCATCATCTTCTTCGATTTGGATTTGCTGCGCGATTTCACTTACGTCAACTTGGCTATGGGCATGACAATAATCAACTTTGTGGAAATTAATTTCGCTATTTTAACGCCATTCATTCTATCCGATTTTAAGTTCACCAACACACAAATCGCGTTCGCCATGTCCTCCCTGGGGGTTTGCGATGTCATTTTGCGTTTCCTTACGCCACTGCTTACTGCGAAAATACCGCTGAGTAACAAAAATTTCTTCATCGTTGGCATTTTGGGCATGTGTTTCGGACGCGTCTTTCTCGTTTACTGTCGCAACTTCTATTCGTTAATTGGTATTTTTGGATTTTTGGGCCTCTTCAAAGCGTTTCGCACAATCTTTGCGCTCCTCATAATTCCAGGCTATGTGCCATTGAAACGATTGCCCGCTGCTGCCGGTCTGCAATTGCTGATGTCCGGTATTTTCTCGCTGGTCTTCGGACCACTGGTCGGTGAGTGTACGAAAGAATGACGAAAATACATATATTTGAATTTTGTAACATATTTAGAATTGGAAAGAATAATGTAAATATTTCTTTTTACAGGTCTCATACGCGATGCGACGGATTATGGTTACACTCTGCATTTTCTTAACGGACTCAATATCATAGCCATTACCTTTTGGATAGTCGAAGATCTATTGCGTAAGAACAAGAAGACGACGTTGGAATAATATCATTCTTTTGTGCCACCGTTTTATGGTTCCTGCCATATTTCACAAAACTATAAATAGATATCCTGCATGTAAAGGATCATTTGTACATATCTAAAATTGAAGACACCTTAAGCAGTGCCTTTAATAATATGGCTCATAAGCTTTAAAAGTTCGCACAAATACTGTGTTGAAATTTTCCTAAACCATATTTCTTTTTGTAAGCAAATGTATTCTAGTATTCTATTCTAGATAGGTAATTACTTTATAATGACTGCTGTTACCAGGACTGCCAATTACCTTAGCTATGAAGTGCCGCATTGAGGATTGAAAAGTGCCAAAACGTTCTTTACCTTACTTTTGATTCAGAAATAGAGGAACAAAGTTGCTAAGATAAAAATCAAATTAACCAATTCTTTCACCTGTGAAAGTAGACAAACTTAGTTGCTCAAAAAGTATTTTTTAAGTACTACTTGAGGTAGAAAGGGGACCAAAAATGGCACGATTTGAGGCAAATTGGCAGTCCTGGCTGTTACTTAGTTGTACATACTTATGTATTCAAAGGCATTTAGTTAAAAATTATTTTTATAAAATAAATTTACTATGTAAATAACTAATATATTTATATGCATGTATGTTTTGAGCTGACTTTTATTATAATAAAGATCTTTTTTTTTGACTGGCTGGCGGCCATTTTAATTATGCCGTCTTCTGTTAGTTTAATACTCATTAATTTTTTATAAAAATACTAGCGAACTCACGTATTTACAGTTTTGAAATTTAAGAGCTTTTAATTTCCTTGATGCTAAAGGATAAACAATATTGTTGGCTTTTTCATTTGGTTACACGTTGCTTGATTTTTTCATAAGCTATTTTCTGATCCACAACTAAAGCTCTTTTTGCTTTTGCACAAAGTGTTCCAGCTGATTTCCTAAGCCTCAGCCCTTACGTCGATGCTACCACAGTCGCAGATATCACATATAAATTTTGGCCCCGATTGAAGTCGGTTAAGGCGTGTCGCACAAGCGTTAAAGATTACCCTATGAAGACGTCTTAGCCGACTCCAAACGGGACCAACATTTATATGTGATATCTTCGACTCTAGTAGTATCGATTTTGGGTATTAAATAAAAAAAAATATATATTTTTAATTTTCTGAGTCCATAGAGGCATCTGGCCTTTGACCCCTTTGCGACACGCCTTAACCGCCTCCAATTGGAACCAAAATTTATATGAGATATCTGAGACCGTGGTGTTACCGATTGAGGGGGTGAGACTAAAAAAATCATTCATTGGATTTTTAAGGACCATCCTATGTACATTACAAGACAAACGCACGGACAATCAAATATGACTAAATCAATTCTTCTGGCTTTTCTGAACACATATGTATATAATATCCATATCTATTCCAACGCCTTTATACCAATATTCTGAAGAGTTCCTATGAAAAAGACTTGATTAAAAAAAATACACTGAAAAAGCTATACCTTGACCCACTTTTTGTAAAGTGAGCTAACTTTTCAAAACGGTTTCAGAGTTTTTGTTATCCTAGTCAAGTACTATCGTTCTGTGTTGGTTGCTTCCGCGTTAGATTCCATGGCCCTAAAATTTTTGCACGCCGTTATTTGTCTTATCTGTCTTATCTGATTCAAATTTAACGCTCAATCTATGGAAAACAAAATTATTAAATGTGGCATAATTATAGGCAGTAATACATAAATATGTGCCTGTGTTTGAAAACGGAAAGCGTATACATATATGTATGTATCTACATACATAAGTATGTAAATATCTGAGCTCACAGTATGGCGCAATCCAACCAAATTTCATCACTGAGACAATCTTTTGCCCAGGCGACGATATGTAACTCTCTCCATATGTGTGTCCATTCACTTTTCCATTAACAGTTGTCTGACTTATAAGGTAAAGTGTTAATAAAAATTACTTGGCGCATACGTTCGATAACAAGAACAACAATTAGGTACAACAAAGACAATATCACAATGTCATATATGCACAATCTACACATGTAAGTATGTATGTACATATTCACAACAACTTCCATACACGTTTACAATTTAAATGAAATTGAGTTGAATTATTTGTATGCACACCATTTAATTGAGCTTGTTGAATGCAAAACAATTAGAATAAATAAGTACTACAGTGGAACTTGTTGAACTCGAACCTCTAAGCGATTCAAGTAAAGGCACACTCATAAGTAATTATAAACATTTTATTTTGATTGAACAACACAATGTTCGCGTTTCGCGTTTAAGAATTGGAATACGTATTTTGCAGTTCTTTACTCTTTAAAACTTTTCTTAGCCCTTTAATGAGAACACTTCATTAAAAATGGGCACTATAGGGTAATGGTAAAGGCGTTTCTACAAGATTGCTTGTAGCAATCTGGAAAATTCAGTGTATATAAAACATTATATTGAAGAGGGGTTATTTTTAAGGAAAATCTCTGTTCAAAACGGAGTAGAAATCGCAATAGCGCAGCTCACTCTAGCGAAGCCCTGATGTACGAAAAACAATAAAAAGCACTGTCTTCAAAAAACTTCATTACACAGAACTCATTTCTTTAGGGGAGTTTGATATAAAGGAGTTACACTGTATACATACAGCGTTAGAAGAAATATGCTGAATCATTTCGGACGTGACGAAATGGTGAAACAAATTGAAGAGATAAACAAATATTGTTCTCTGTATATACATATATATAAATCTAAATCGGACATAGAGAGTGTTTATTTATGGGTCCCAAATTATTATTTATGGATCTCAAATGAAATCCATATACTATACATATAAAAGGGGTGATCCATCTAGTCCTTTGTTTTTTTTTTTTAATTTTAAATAAAACACTTACAACAGAACTGGATGTTGGAATTATTATCCGAAAAAACAATCTGTGACATCCACCAGCTGTACTAACTTGGGGTTTTAATTGTAGTTTAACCAAGAGGGATAGAGACAAGAGCTGGGCTGTTATGGAAATTCTACGAAATAAAATTTTTTTCACAAAATCCTGGTTGATCTGTCAAACAGTCACTTTACGCACCTATTTTCACAAAGGGGGCGTTCCTTTAATAGAGTAAACTTACGAATTTTATACAGTTTAAGACTTAACAAGTTTAAGGGAATCCCCTAAGTGATAAACAATTTGTTTAGGAAAGTAGAATGCAGTACACATTATGTAATCTTTCATTATGTCTACGATCTTAAAAAATAGTTTCCAAAAAAAAATTTCAGGCTAAAGTCGCGATACTTTGTACATATACAGTATATGTATGCACTTTAGGGTGCGCCTTAATTTTCAACTTTGACCTACACCGCAAGACTCCCACTCGATTGGTTCTTCTGTGCATAAAAATGTGCACTGGAAAAAATTTTCAAAATCGTATAAAGGGAAGACGGGCATCAAGAGTTATGTAAAAAAATCTCTATAACTTCCAAACCTGACGCAATATGAAAATGGCGTGGGCATATGTTACATCAGCGTGCAAAAATCGATTGGTTGTTACAAAAAAATACTGAATTTTGCTGAATTATAGGCTCTTTTTCCTATTTTATGTAAAATTTTATGAATTAGCGTATATTTGTAATTTTTGGGGTCTTTTCGTTATCCGATTTTGAAAATTTTTCCCGGAGCACGTTTTTAGAGAGTCTTGCTTTGTAGGTAACAAAAAAAAATTTTTCTATACAATTAAGGCGCACACCAATGTAGCCTGCAGTGAAACATTATCAATTGATAAAAATAATTAATTTGTAGGTAGCGATAAATTCGTCACTTTTAATTAGCTATGACAAAACCAACTTATAGTGGGTTGTAAAGTTATGAGGGCGTAATCGGGAGTTTGTTTTCTTTACACAAGTTTCTATTTAAATATCCTCATAAATTAATTTGAATACACTTTTTTATATTACAATTTTTATGTTGTCTGACGGCCTTCACTAAATAAATAAACACATTAAAAATTAAAAAAATATATACATACACACTCTAAAAAGTGCATGTAAAACTACTACTGAAAAGTGTTTATTTTTCAACCAGAATCTGTTCAAGTATACGCACAAGATGTTCAAGATTTGATTTTGAGCATGAGTTGTTTAAAATATACACATGAAATGTTTAAAATTACAAACATTTTGAAAGTAAAAATATATTTTTTACAAATAATAAATACTAAGTGCCAGGGGCGCACGCAGGAATATATTTTTGGGGGGAAAGGATTTATACTTCTAAATATATATCGTCAGAAAATACTGAAAATTCGCTCTTTAAAATACATTTATGCAAGTTTTATGTACAGTATGAAATAAATAAATAAACTTTTTAAAGTTTCATAAATTGCATTTTATTTACATAAAATTTACAAAGAACTCAGACATTTTCAACCGGCTTCAAAAAAAGGGCAGGTTGTCAATTCTTCGGAGTATTTTTACTTCTTTTATTTATTCCACCGCATAACTTTGCACCGCGCGAACCGATTCCAATAATTATTTTTTTTACCGGAAAGATGGTACCTTAAGGGTCGTCTCGTAATTTGGTTTAGATCCGATCATTAAATCATGAAAAAATTAACGGTTAAAGATGCACTCAACTTTCAAAAGTAATACAAAATTTTACAAAAGAATTTTAATATAAATAAATTAAATAATTTCACGAAATTTTTACACTTTTTTATTAATTTTCGCCGATTTCTGGTTTCTCATTTTTTAATAATTCGAATAACGAAAATTTAACTGAAATTGTATTTTTATCACGTAGCTCATTTTGGTGGAACGAATTCGAAGTTAGCAAATTAAATCTTCGAATGCTTATTAAGTACATATTAGTGGTAAACTTTTATAGGCTGTAAAGTGTAAAAAGCAACAGTAAGTGAGTATGCATTGCATATTTTTAGGACAATGTTTTCATTCGCAGTTAAACTTTAAAGAGCTCTCAAGAAAAAATGACAAATTCTTACAAATTGACGCACAAGAAATGGAAGAGAAAATTTTTTCTTTCAAAATTTCTTATATCATAATAAATTTAGCACCAAAACCCACCCCTTGTGTGCGCTACGTGACAAATTTGATATGTAAAAGTAAACAGACATTGTTTAATTTTGCACACACTAGGAGAGGAAACTGGTTACCTCTCTTTATATGCGTAAATTTAAACGAACATTTTTTAGAGGAAATTTTAAACATTTTATGTGTAAACTGTGAAAATGTGAACAATAAATGTTTAAAACTCAAAAAACAAATTTGAAATTTGTTCTACGCCACACATATGATGAGTAAAAGTAAGCAAGCAGTGTTTAAATTTGCATTC